GTGTGTGTATGTGTGTGTGTGTGCGCGCGCGTGCATTCGTTCGTGAATATTGTTCGTACATGCATTTAGAATGTAAAGCGCCTAGAGTTCTGTTTACACGGGAGTGGGCGCTATAGAAATGATCTTCATTATTATTATTATTAAGACGATATCACAAAGTTAGTGGAAAGTCTAGGCCTACCGTGTTAAATACACTATACACATCGTGATAAGCCTACTCATACCCGCTTCTCCTAGACACGTATAAGTCTTTAATTCTTTAAAAAATAAACTTTTTCTTTTTTACTTGTCATTTGTTTCTTACCGGTACTGGAGACAAAAAAAAAGTAATAAAAATAAAACAAAAACAAAAAACAAATAACGGTATTCGTGTTTCTAGCTGTTTCGTCAATAAAACATTGCTCGGGGTGTAAAACGTTTCTTCATATTTATCATGTACCAAATCTGAAACAGACGTCGACGATCGTGGTGAGCTACTCTTTATTCTGCTCAGGTAGTCTTTGAAAAAACAAAATTCTAATTTATATAAAAACTAGCTGGGCCCCCTTTCGATGAAAGGAAATATTGGTGCATTTTCACAAAGTGAAAGTCATTAGCCTACGATATTTGCACTCTACTGGAATAGAGCAATACATTTTGAGAGATGCAAAAAAGTAGAAAATTCTAATCTAAGACCACTTGACGTTGTTCCCAGTAGCAAGAAAAAGAATTTGACAAAGGAGTCCAGAAAAAGCAATGATGGGCATCAGACGAAAGGATCACAGTCGAGTTTAGCACCAAGTTAATACACAAGCACAAGAGGTAGGGGTAGAGCAAGGATAATGAACTTAGATAGATGTTAATATACAGAATATGCATCCTCCAAGAACTGTTTGATGATGATGATGATGATGACGATGATGGTAGTTGTGCTAACAAATAAGAAGCCCATAAGGGTAAACGGTTTAACATTTTTTTTTTTTTATTACTTTTTGTTTTTCCTTACTTTCAAACTTAGAACAATGATGATAATGTAGTTTTTTGGTATCGTTTTTTTTCCCCATCAGGGTCATTGAGTACGTGACGTGATGTCGCCGCCCACACTGCTGCTGTTTCTGGGACTGTCCTTGTGTCCTGTGACCTGTGAGTGACTCAGTCCAACACTGACTACATGTTTTTGTCTTTGTTTTTTAAGGGAACATGCAGAGACTTGCGTTTTATTTTTTTTAA